ATCAGTCCCACCTGTGCACACCTGCCGCTTGCAGATTAGGCAGCAGAGACTGCTCAGGTGTGGGCCTGAGCAGCTCTGAGCACATCTCCTGGTTGTCTCTGTCTGGGGAGCCCGAGTGCACGGTGGGGCACATGCTCAGGACTGCTGAAGTGTAGGTTATACCACCTAATTTGCAGGCTTGGGTACACGAGGTGAGGGTACAAGTGGGTGGGATTTATTTCTCAGCCAAGGCCATCTTGATGTAGCCATAGAAGCCAGCTTTGTGCTACATGGGTGTGGCAGCAGCTGTGTTGACTAGGGGTCTGCAAAGATCCCACTCCCTTGCTGAAGAAACTCCAGCAGCAACACCCCTGGTGTGGGTGTGTCTGTGTGGACAGAAAAGGGTTTTTGCTGGATTCACTTCTGTTTCAGGAGGGGTTGTGGTTGTGTTGGCAGAAACCCCCTTCCTGGTGAAGATGCAGCATGTAGTGACGGAGACTTCGCTGATCTTGTGGCTGTAGTGTAGACAAGTCCAGGGTGGGTTTGGGGTGTGCAGAAGAGACTTAACAGAAATGATGCCTGTGGCTGCTCTCCATCCATAAAGGAGAAATACAAAGCCCAGTAATAATTTTTTTTACTTCGTTGCATTTTTAGTCCCTGGGCTCTTATTGCTGGAGGCCATGGCCATCTTATAATATCACATTCTTAAACCTAAACTGCAAATTTAAGCTGCACCTTTGTAAGCCACGAGTTAAGCTTGCCAGGCCAAGGGTGTTTATGCAGTATAGAAACACTGGCAAGCTATATTTCCTTTGAAGGTGAGAGCACCTGCAGCAAGAAGACCTATAAGTGCAACAGTCTACGCTGGTAAAAGTGCAGTTTTGCTGGTGTGACTTTAGCTGTGCCGAAAGTCAGAGGACTGGAGGCTTCTGCTGTCTGAGCTGTATCAGTCAGGGGCATGGTCCTTAGCCAACAGGGCCATGTGAGCAGGTCTATCACAGAGGCACTAAATAGATATTGCCAAATGAAGCAGATCAGATGTGTCCTGCATCCACATCATTGGGCAAAATGGATGTTGTCTGTTGTTCTGCCCTTCGATCCTGTGGAACAGCGCGTTCCTCCCCTTGCAGAGATGCAACCAGGGAAATCTCTGGGGTGCATCTCTAAGTGGTGCAGTCCCAGGGCTGAGGCTGCCGGTCGGTTGACTGATGGTCCCAGCCGCAGGACCACACCAGAGCATCAACGGGTAACTGGAGAGTGCTGGCAGCTCGGGTCTGCCGTGCTTTCGCACCATAAAACGGATGTCTGCCACAAGAAAGTGGCAGAAACTACTAGCACCTTTTATGCCCACACATTTTTGGCAATTGTGGTGCGACAGGGGGTATGGACATCTGTTTGCTTGGCTTTTACGTTGGCCCAAAGGCAATAACTTTTTCTACCTGGAGAGGTAGTGAGAGAGCGAGGCAGGGATTGTGTTAGTCCCTGTAGGACAGGCAGCACAATGTCCAGTTTTACTCTGGCAGTTGGTCCAACGTGTGTGTTTTGACCTTCAGCTGGGATATGTTTCAAGCCGTCCAGCAAAGGCCAGACCCTCTGATTTTCTAATGTGTCAGAAGCTAGCAGGCAAATCTCTCCCAGAATTGGAGACACTTTCTCAAGGGCCAGGTGAAGGCACGGATGTTTGCTCACCTCCAAGAGGGTGGTCCTCTGGGGGAGAACAGGAGTAGCAGGACCTGCATGTTAGTGCACTTTTTCCCCTTGACTTTATTGCTTTCTCCATAGTTTGCCCCTCGCTCTTGAACTTGCTTGTTGCATGCTTTCCGTTTTCTTCTGGAGAAGAACAGAGGCTTGAAACATGCAGCTGCACCACATCCAAAATCAATCTGTAAGCCTGCCCAAAGCGCTGCAGGGCCAAGCCAGCAGGGTGAAAGGGCATCGGAGGCAGGTTGTATCCATGTGGGATGATTGAGTGCCAGACCTGGATGGCAGGGGCTGTCTTTTACAAGCCTGCCATGCAATGAATGTTCTCCTCTTCACATCCCTTCTCCCTCTCGTCTCTGCAGCTGTGTTTTGGCTGCTCTTCCTCTCCTACATCCTTTATTTTTCATTGTCTGCACTGTCTCTTTCC